TCCCATAGGCAGCTACCGCGGAGGCCAGGCCTGTCAAGTCCCGTCCACGCCCTGGGTCCAGACGCTCTCCCTGTGGTTTGTGTGGGGGGTGGGTTGCTGGGGTCAGCGGCCATGTCCCTCCCTGTGCCATGGCAGGTGTCAGGAGGGCCAGGGCACTGGAGGGTCTGCAGGAACGTGGGGGCAGGCACCGCCACGGCGGCGTGCTGCTAAAGAGGAGTCAGCCTCCCGCAGAGCTGTCACGAATGGCGAGTGGACATTCCTCGTGTCAGGGGCTGTAAACTAGGGGCTGATGGACGGCCTTGCCTGCCAGGAAATCCAGCCCTGAGCACCGCGGGGCCTCCTTCCAGCCCAGGGCTGAGCGCGAAGGGGGAGGCGCAGGCCACGCTGCCCAGGTCAGCCCCTGCGGGACGTCTCCCAGAACAGGGGGCCTGGCCCTGACGCTGCTAGAGATGGGCCACTCCTTGGAGCTGGCAAGGGTGCCCGACAGGCCTCAGCTTCCTCCCTGTGACTGTGTGACCTGTCCTCGCTGCTGGGGACTCTGGGGGGGGGGGAGACGCCACGTCCCTGGAGTCGGCAGGGGCTCAGTGCACACTCCATGGGCTGCAATGTTCATTGTCAATAAAACCGGTGGCCCTGCCTGGCGCCTGGGGCCGCAGTGACAGGCACCTGCCCGCCTGCCCCACACTCACACCTGTCCTGGACCGGGGTCGAGCTGGACGCTGACCTCACGCCCCAAACCCTAGTGCTCTCTTGGCCAGGGCGGGGATCAGAGTAAGGAGCAGGCTGTAGCAGAGGCCTGCGGGAGGGTTACGGGGCCGCGACGGTGCGTGTGGCGTGCTCACATACCCCCGAAGAAGGAGTCTGTATTTCTGAATCATACACTGTGTTTTAAACCAACGTTACCTCAAAAGCTGGAATAAAAATAAAAATAAATGTTTAAAAAAGTGTGACTGCTCGACTTTCGCTACGCATGCCAGGCTCACTCCAGCACCCACCCGCGTCCTCACAGCACGGGCGCGACTCAAGCCAAGACCGTTCTGTCCACAGCTTGTTGAGGGCTGTGACTGTGAACAGATGTTCTGGTTTTCCAGCACTTTCTTTTGTTAATTGAGGGCCCTGTGCTGATTTTCAGCTGTCAGCTGCTTTGCACTTCAAGGACGTAACCACACCCTGCCCAATGCGTGCTGTGCCCACTGGATGACCAGGGTGGCGGGTCTCTGGGTCTCTGTCCTCGGGGCGCCAGCCATGCCTTCCTGCAGGTGCCGCTCCCCACCCGGGGCTCCCATGGGCGCTGGGTCTCTGTGGCGCCTGGGATTCTCCGCAGGCCTGCGTGCCCGCTGCTGGACAGGCCATGGGCTGCTGGCCGTGGGGTGCGTGTGCAGCTTCACTCACCGTGGAGCAGACACGGGCGGGGGCCGGGAGACCTCCCGCAGGACTCCGAGGGCCCAGGGGTGCGTGGGGGCTGCGGCTGCGGGAGGCGGGTCCAGGATCGTGGGCAGCTTGGGAACTTGGATGGGAGGCGGCGGGGCGAGGCGCGGGTGCGAGGTCGGGGCTTCGCCTGACAGTGTGGCTGTCCCGGTGCCACGCCTGCTCCACGAGGCACACGGAGCCTTTCCCCGCCCTGTAAGTTTCTTCCAGGGGCGCTTTTTTAAACATTGATTTATTTTTATCACAGCTTTTATGGAGGTAACGTTGGTTTAAAACCCTGCATGTGATTCAGAAATACAGACTCCTTCTTCGGGTGCATGAGACCACGCCACACGCCACACGCGCCGCCGAGGCACCGTCATCCTCCAGCAAGTTCCCCGGGGCCCTCCCCTCCTCCCTGCCCAGTGGTCCTCCCCTCGGGGAGCCCTAGTTTTACAGTCGGATTTCCAGGGTTTGCTGTTGGTTTGGTGCTGTCTGACCCTTCGTTTTGTCTCCCTCAGTCCACGCAGGGTGGAAACCGGCGGTGTTTGTCTTCTTCCTGCTCATTTCCTTCAGCATCGTCCCCGCCAGCCCCACCCAGGTGCCACAAATGGCAGGATTTCTCCTTTTCACGGCTGAGTAGTATTCCACTGTGGACACAGCACAGCTCCTTTATCCGCCACCCATCCTTGGGCGTGAGGTTGTCCCCGTCACTCTGCACTGACTGTGAAGATCGGGACATGCTGTTGAAAGTCTTCAGCTGCCCAAGGAGAGGAGGTGCAAGCAGGACTCCCAACCCAACCCGTCTGGACAGGGCCCCAGCCGGACCCCACTCCCTGAAGGCGGGGTCGCTCTTTGCTCTGGACACTTCCCCACTGAAGGGGCCCGGTGTCCACCTGGGCAGTGGGATGTCCAGTCCCAGCTGAGCTGAGCCCCACCAGGCTGACCATTGGATGACGAAGCCTCTTCCAGGGACTCGAGTCCAGAAACCCCCAAGACCTAACATTCTTGGGGTTGGAGGGTCCGTTTTCTGGTCCTCAGCCAGCGGTGCCACCTCTGGGGTGACCTCGGTCCTTGCCACAAAGCCTCTAGGCGTGCTGACCCTCCAGGACCCCAGCTCTTTTCAGTGGCGCGGGTTTCTGCACCCTCTGCAGGCAGCTGACCCACAGGAGACAGCCTGCCCGGCGGCATCTCGGCAGATGGCAGGTGGGGGCAGAGGGGAGCCTAGCTCGAGCCCCGTCACAGTCCATGGCACTTAGCACGCAGCTCGAGCGAAAGGAGGCGTGTTCTAACGTTCTAAGGCAGCTGCAACAGCGCTGGGGACAGCGAACCCTCCTTCGCAGGGTTTCCCATTGGAGACAACCAAATGCACCCCTAACAAACTGACACTAGGTAGGTCCCCTCCCTTCCAAAAGCAGGATGGACTTTGAGATGTTCAAAGAGGCCTTTCAGGGCCTGGTTTCTTCCCAGAGTCTTGCTTACTTGCCTCCCAGATCCTCCAGGACTGGCTTCGGACCCGGGCCGAACTCATAGGTGCAGCCTGCAGCCCAGCCAGGAAGGCACAGCTCCACTGGGCTGGGGGTGCGCAGGGAGGCACCCCAGCCCCACCAGCTCCTGCGCCCACCCTGCGACTGGGTGGGGCCCCAGGCAGGCCACCCCTCGGGGAGGGCGGCCCCACCGCGCAGGGCACCGAAGTGGGTTTTTTTAAACAACTACTTTGCCTTTTCCTTCCTCCACTGCAGCAACTGCTTCCTGTCACGGCTTTGAGTCGGAGCATATTTTCACTTCACTCACACGGGCCCGACCCCAAGCCCGGCGGGGGTTTCAGTCTTGCACCCAGGCCCGCCCAGGAGCAAGGCCTTCGTGAGGACGCCGAGCGCACAGAGACAGAGTCCAGCCGTGCCCAGGTGACCCCCGGCTCTGCTCCCAGCACCGGCCCCTCCTTCAGACAAGCCCACGGACCAGCCGAGTGTGGAGGAGAATCCTGAGTGTCCCCGAAATCCCGGGCGTGCGGAAGTGGCCCCTACCTGGTACCTTCACAGCACTTCTGGGAACTTGTCTGTGCAGCTTAGGATGCCTAGGGGGCCCTAAGAATTGTGGGGGTTCTTAAGGACAGCTACTGGCTCTGCGGGGGGTCGAGAGCAGCCCCCCCCCCCAGGGTCTCCCAGAGCAGGTGTGGCCTGGACCCCTATTGGGGAGTCATTTCCATTGTGTTCTGCTGGCCAGAGAAAACTGAGGCACTTTCATCTAAACAAATATTTCTTTTGTTAGGGACTTTCTTCACACGGAGGCCCTGGAGCCACGGGGGCGCTTGACTCCCCAATCCTCCAGACGCAGCCTTTGGCTGTCTGCTGTTACTTCAGAAGTTTGAAAAGATTCTCAAAAAGTCTTAGCTGGGGAGAGGCGGGTGCCGGGTGCCCCAGGAGCTTGGGGGGGTAGGTGCGGCAGAGCAAGAGGCCAAAAGCTAAACAGAAGCCAAACCACTGGGCAGGCGCAGGGTGTGGGGGTGTCAGCATGGCTGTAAAGTGAAAGCTCAGGTGGTGGTTTCATGGGCGGGCGTCCTGGGTGAGCCCTGCACGAACCACAGTTTAGGATGGTCTCCCCCACGGACAGATCTCCCGCCACGGGCGTCTTTGCTAAACTCACCTTAGAAAAGGCCGGGTGGAAAGACCCTCTGGTTCCCCGGGGGCCGGGCCCCGGCAGGCGCTTCCAAGCACCATTTGATTAAACTTTCAAGGACTTTGGACTTTCATAAAGCGCTTTACAAATAAAAGTCTTACAAATTAATTACAACTTCAGTGACTTAAAATCTATGACCAAGTCCCCCCCTCCACTTTCGGGGGGTGTTTGCTGCGGGATGGTGAATAGCTGCCACCGACACTGTCCCTTCTGTTCCGGAGGACATAACAAAGAAAAGCCCGCTTAGGAAGCCCCGCGAAGTTCAGGAGTTCAGAGCAATTTGTCTTAGGAGCAAAGTCTTCCCTGGAGCTAAGGGGCCTTCCAAGGCCCCCTGGTGCCAACGGGATGCTCCGCTGCACCGAGACATGAATATTTGACTTCGCAAAGCACCGGGGCTTCTTTACGGGCTTCTCCTGCTGACACATTTCCCCCGGGACCTGGACCTCGGGCTTCATCAGGCTTTGCAAACGAGGGCAGATTGGGGTTTCCCAAGACGGTGCTGGCGGGAGGGCTTTGCCCAAGCAGCCAAGCCGGGTTTGCCAGGGGCCGTGTGCTCGTGTGCCGCGTGCCAGCGTGTGTGCGCGTGCCCGGGTGTGCCCGTGCCCGCATGTGGACGCCCGAGTGTGCCCGTGCCAGCGTGTGCGCGCGCCCGAGTGTGCCCGTGCCTGCATGTGTGCGCGCCCGGGTGTGCGCGCCCGGGTGTGCGCGTGCCCGCGTGTGTGCGCGCCCGGGTTGCGCGTGCCCGCATGTGCGCGTGTGTGCCCGCCCGGGTGCGCGCAGGCGGGGTGTGCGCGCCCGGGAGCGCGGAGGGCGGCGGGCGGGGTGCGGGCCGGGCCGGGCCGCCCTCTGGAGGCGCCTCCCCGCGGTGTATATAACGCGCGCCGCCGCCGCGAGCCCAGTTCCTGCCGCGCCCGCCCTCCGGCCGCCGAGCGGAGCGAGGTGAGGACCCGCCCGGAGGACCCGGGCAGCGGCCGGGGCGGGGGCGGCCGCCGCGACTCGCGCCCGGAGCCCAGGGGCGCTGCCCGGGCCCCTCCGGCCGCCCCAGGCCCGGTCCCCGCGGGCCCGGCTGCCCGCGCGGGGCACCGCGGCGCCGGCTGCCGGGTCGGTCCCGCGTTCGGGGCTCGGCGCTGGCGGGGGGCGCTGGCGCTGGCGGGGGGTCGCTGGCGCTGGCGGGGGGCGCTGGCGCTGGCGGGGGGCGCTGGCGCTGGCGGGGGGCGCTGGCGGCGCGAGAAGCGCGGGCGCGGCGGGCGCCCCGCGGGCTCTGGGGGGCGCGGGCAGCGGGGCCACGGGGCGCCCCGGCGGGCCAGGGGACCCGGCGCCTCGCGGGGCGCATCCCGGCGCGGGGCGCGGGGGCGGGACCCCGGACCCAGGCGGCGAGCGGGTCCCGCGCCCCGGGGATCAGCAGCCCGAGATCGGGAGCTGCGGGGGGGGCGGGGGACGCGTTCCTGCGCCCCGCCGCCCGCCCTCCGGGGATCCCCGCAACCCGGTCGGGGCATTTATTGTTCTCGGACGACGGAAAGTTCAACTTCAGCCGGGAGGGGAGAGGAGCGCGCCGCCGCGAGCCGAGCGCTTTTGTGATTTAAATGCCTGCCCGGGCCGGCGCGGATCTCGCCCTGCGGGGGCGCAGGCCTGGGGTTGGGGGCGCGAGCCGGGCTGGGGGAGCCGGGCGGGCGGGCGCCGGGCCGGGCCGGGCGCTTGCAGGGAAGACGAGAAGTTGTAAAAGTCAGCCCGGCGCCTGGCTCCTCCCGGCCGCTCCCCTCCCCGCGCCCCGCTCGCCGGGCTCCGCGGGAGCAGGACGCGGTTCCCCCCGGGGGCTTCTCCGCCCTTCGCAGCCCTCGGCGCGTGACGGACCCGCAGCGCGTTCCCCCAGGTCCGCCGTGGAAACGTCTCCTCGTCTCGCCGGACGCAGAGGCCGCCTTTGTGTCTGCCTGTGGCGGGGGTGCAGAGCCCAAGCGGCCGGTCTCGCCACCCGCCGCCGGGTCTGCTTCCCTTTCCACCACTCTGCGGGGAGACAGGGCGCCCCACGCGCACCCTGCGCCCGCCCGGCCCCGGCGCGGAGCCTGTCTCGCCCGAGCTGCCCATGGCAGCCCAGCCTGGACCCAGCCCAGGCGCCCCAGGCGCTGCCGTGAGCACCAGGCGCGCCCCCGGAGCTGGTGCTGCAGGCGGGGAGTGGGGTGCAGGGAGGGGAGCCCGGGCAGCTGAGAGCGCCGTGGGGCGCCACCGGAGTTTCTTGAAAGGGGCGAGCGTGGCCGTCACAGTTTAAAAAAAATACAAGTGGCAAAAAGCAAAGCCAAGGCCGCCAGCCCGAGAGGGACCCGCGGCGGGTTGACCCCGGTCCGCAGCCAGCCCGGAGAACTGAGGAGGCATTATGGTTCCTAATCAGGCCGCGCGCGGGCCAAGGGCAGGCTTTCTGGATAAAAAAAAACAAAGCAAAACAAAACAACTGCTTAATCAGGAACAGTGGCTTTTTGTGCGCCCTCCACCCCCCGCCCCGCGGCCCCTGCTGGGCCTGGCCCCCCGGAGAAGGTGCCCAGACCCGAGGACGGCTCCACCCCGGGGCGCGGGAGCAGGGCCAGGAGCCCGGGACGGGGCTGCCTCGGAGCTCTGCAGAAAGCCAGGGGAATCCGGGCGAGGAAGAAACTTTGAAACCCGCTCCCAGACGCTTAGCCGTGCGCCCGGGTGCAGGGCCCGCGGGCGCCACCCCGCCGGGGCCGGGAGGCAGCGTGAGGAAGAGACGAGGCCTGCGGGGCGCAGCCCTGTGCAGCCGGGACAGGGCGACTCCAGGGCACGCTCTTCTACTACAGAAAGGCAAGCTGGGAAAACAAAACGGAGAAAAGAGGCGTGTCCCCCGCATTTTGAGGCGTGTCCCCCGCATTTGAATACTTGATGGTTTTCTGCAGGGGGACACTTGATGCTTTTGTTCAGCCAGAATCTGCTCATTCAGACCTGGATCCCGAGCAATTATTGCTTTGTTAGTAGGGAAAGTTTTGCTGCTGCAGACAGGTTCGCAGCCTGAGGGCGGGCCCGGGCCAGGATGGTCTTGAACCCAGCGACTCAGGGCCTGAGTGGCCGGCGGGCAGCCCTGGGAGGGGCGGAGGGCTCCGCCGCCACAGCTGGCATCCTGGGCCTGTCTGGAAATTGACCCCTCGGTTTATTACACTCCGGCCTGAGACGGCCCAGTGTGCCCGGCCGACGGTGGCGAGGGGCTGCTCAGCCTGGCGACCGCCCACTGCCCGGTCCAGCTCCTAAACTGGGTGGGAATGAAGACACCAGATGCACCCTGAGTGTGTCCGTGGGGTCTGCTTTTGTGGGTGCAGCCTGGCTTCACAATGGACTGGACCGGGTTTCTGGATGTGGGGTGCATTTACCTCCCGGTGCTGGAAGGTGGATGAGGAGGCCCCTGTGTCACCAGGGTGTGTCCGAGGACCCCGGGGGAGACGCCTTACTTGCGTGTCCGGCGGCTTTTCTTTCTTCCGGGCAGCAATCTTTTCTGAGCCCTCGGAGGACACACTTTTTCGCAGGGAAAATAGGAGCCGTGAGGGGCCGGCATGGCCAGGGCGCCTTGTGCTGTGTGTGGCTCGGGGGACAGACCGCCCCCGCGCTGCTATCAGCCCGAGCAGACGGCCTCGGCGCCCGCCTGCACAGCTGCTCCCTCCCCGAAGGCTCCCGGGCGAAGGCTGAGGCAGGACGGGCACAAAACAAAACAGAGCTGCGGTGTGCGAGGGGGGCGGTCGCGGTCGCGTGAGGGCCGGCGTGCGTCCTCCCCGAGAGGCACACCCGCCTGCGGGTGACGTGGGACCTCGCAGGGAGACCGGAGCCTGCTTCCCAGTGTGCAAGGCCTCCGGACAGGAGGGGCCGTGCAGAGAACCCCCAGCCCAGTAAGATCCCCTGCCGGCCCCTCACTTTCCAGGTGCGTGGAGGGAGAGGCCAGCGGGCGGCCAGGGCCCCCAGTGCTGGGGACGTTCCACCCTGGGAGGAGCCGGTCCCAGAGGCGGGCGGCCAGGAAGAGCCAGGGCCCCCGGGCCAGGAGATCTGGGCTGCTCTGCCCGGCCTGCACCAGCCTGCCGCACCCCCCCGGGCAGGTCCTGCCCTGTTTGTGTCCCTCCATCCTCCAAAGCTTTTCTGTCCCTGGAAGTCCCTTGCCCGAGCGTCCAGCGTGCCTGCCTGGACAGGCCCAGCCTCGCCCTCCCCCTCCAGGGCACCTGGGCTCGGCCTGCTTGGGGGGCGGGGCGCAGCCAGGGGAGACCGTCTCTTTGCACCCCTTTCCCCTTGGGCTCTCTCCCTGGGCAGCGGCCCGCCCTCCTGCCTCCCCCACCGCTCCTTCCATGATCTTATTTGGGGTGTCATGCCCCACCCTTGGGGCGCACACACCCCTGGGCACACTCAGGGGGAGATTGCCTCAGCTCAGATCCCTGGTCTCTGGGGAGCTTGAGGGGCCCTGACGCCTGCTTTGTGCGGGACCATGTGGGGCGACTCGCGGGGGCAGGAGGTGGGGAGACGTTGGGATGGAGCCCGAGACCCCGGGGTCCTCGGACACACCGCTGGTGACACAGGGGCCTCCTCATCCACCTTCAGATGCGCTGGGCAGCCGAGGGGCCGCCGAGGGGGCGGGGGCGCCGAGGGCTCCGTCCCAGGCGGCGTCTTGGTCTGCGCAGGGCCGCGTGGGGGCGGCTTCGGGGGAAAGTGCTGCGATGGCCGAGCGCTGGCCGGCCGGGGCGGGAGCCAGCCCGTCTGGGGCGGGAGTGACTTTTGGCCAAGGAAGGACGTGTTTATGGCAGGCCGAGCTGGGAGGCTTCTAATTTGGGCCGTGCCCTCAGCTGGCCCTTGGAGGAAAGGCCCGAGGCCGCAGCCCGGGTTGTCAAGGACACGGGTGGGGAGGGAAGGCCACATCTGGCCAGCGAGCGCCTGCCCAGCTCCTGGAGTGAAGGCAGAGTCCAGGGCCCCTCCCAGCCCTGGGGAGAGCCCGCCCGGCCGTCGGAAGCACGCGCCCGGTCCCTGCGCGAGTGGACACCCTCTGAGGGCGGCGGTGGGCCGGGACCCCACCGTCGAGAGGACCCCACCGTCGAGAGGACCCCGAGATAAAACAGCTGCTGTTCCCGCGGCAGGTTCCTGCTCTAGAAAAGTGAAACCTGGACCCTCGCTCTTTGGGGGTCTCCCCCCCTCCGCCCATGTGTAATCTGTACAGTTGCCGATGTCGAATTTCAAAGCAGTAGAAAGGACTAGTCCCCCCACCCCCCCAGGGTTTGCACCCGCCAGAGCCCTCCGCCGGGGCCGGGGCCCGCGGGACGCATCCATTTCGCCTCTTGTCCCAGGAGGGGCGCGTGCGCACGGCCTCCGCGCCGGGCCCTGCACCTGTGTCTCTTCTTCCTTCTCCCCTTTGAAAAGGACGCCGATGGGCCCACCTGTTCCTCGACGGACGGGTGGCGTCGTCTGCGCTTTCTGCTCGTTTGTATATAAATAGGGCCTGTGCCGTGTCGGGGCCACATGGCTGTTGCGGGGGCCGTGGAGGTGCCGCATCATAAAGCCGGAACATCTGCCCTGAGCCCGGCCCTGCCAGGACTCCCTCATGCAGGCGCCCGCAGCGGGCGCCGCCCTCCTGCCCGCCCTGGCGGGGGCTGAGCCACAGGAAGGCAGGCCGGGGAGGCTGGACCCACCTCTTACGCTCCGGCCCAGCCTGCGGGAGCAGAGCGACCAGCTTGCCCAGCAGCGGGTGAGGTGACCCCGCGTGGCTGGGTCCAGCGCTGAGGGGCCCCCACGCTGCCGCCTCCCAGCACAGGGAGCCGTCGCACAGCGGAGGGGCACCCCTGGGGAGCAGGGCCCTCCTGCTGCTGGAGGGTGCCCGAGACGCCGGTGCAGGCTCCCAGGGACGCTCAGAACTGGCCCCACACAGAAATTGGGGGGCAGGAGGAGGCCGGGCAGAAAGCTCCGTTTACTCTCAGGTGGTTGAGGGAGGCCCTGTGTCCAGAGGAGGCCACACCCTCGAACCCCATCCTGCCATGCGCCCCACGCTCAGCAAGTGCTGGTCTCTCTTCTGGAGAAGCCCGTGTTGGTGTCCAGGCCCAGCGCCCGCCGCATGCCCAGGAGGAAGCGAAGCTGCCTGTGGCCCCAGCGCCCCTCCGGTGCTCGCTGCCTCGAGCTCGCGGCTGCGCCATGGCTCTAGCCTCGCCGAGCTCCCTCCTTCTCCCCCAGGAGCCTCGTGGGGAGGCGGGGCCCAGGAGAGTGAGCGTGGCTGGACCTCGGCTCCCTGTCCTGCCAGCCTTGCCCGGCTGGTGGGCCTGGGCTCCAGGAGGCGCCTTCCAGCCTCTGCCCTCCGTTGGCCCTTCTGGAAGACCCGCCGTGCTTGGGAGGGGGCGCGAGGATGGCGCGGGGGCGCCTGGCTCCTGGTAAGGGCTGCCGCCTCAGGACAGCGTTTCCCCGAGTCGGGACCCACTGCCCCGACGGGGCGATGGAAGCAGGGACCAAAGGACGGGATGGGGACCCCGCCCTGCCTTGCGGCCCCGGGTGCTGGGGGGTCGCTAGCGGCAGCCCCAGCAGTGTGAGTGCAGGAGCCCCTCACATGCCGCGGGGGAGGCACCAGGAGGCCCCTTGCTGTGATTTCCCAGCAGCGGGAGCAAAGGGCAGGTGGAGGCTGCGCCAGGGGGTGTTTCCACGGGGCAGGAAAGGGTGGGGGCGGGCTTGGCATTCAAGTCAGGCTCACAAATACGGGGTCACTTCTTTCTTTCCAGCCCCTGTGAAGGGCCCAACCCCAGGATTTATGGCTGTGTCTGCAGCCTGGGTTGGCTGTGCCAGCCTGGGTGGCGGCAGGAACCCCAGGCAGGCGCCAGCGAGCAGCCCCCGGGGCCCTGGCCCCTCCTGCCTTCTGGCTCCGTGGCTTGTCCTCCAGCCTGGCCCCCGGGCTCCGCTGGGACTCCGGGCTCATGTGAGGTCCTGGGCGAAGGTGCTGCATCCCTGAAACCAGCCTGCGGGAGGCGGGGAGGGCGTGGAGACCCGCAGAGGGACGCTGGAGCCTCTGTCTTCTGGACTTGGACTCGGGGGGCCCCAGTGGCGGTGGCGGCTTCCAGGTGGGCTGGGGCCAGCTGCCGCGGAGGCCTGTCCAGGTCCACGGGGGCCTGCGTGCCTGTGTGCTGAGCCGCGCGTGGCAGGGCCGCACAGCCCAGGTGCGAATGCGGGGACCGCATTTGTCCTAAAGCTGACCTCGTGGTCTTGGTGGGCGCCCGGGGTGCCAGGTGCCCGCAGACCCTCGTGGGGGCGGCTGGCCCTGTGCACTGGGAGGCTTCCGAGGGAGGTCCCCCCTGTTGCCCCAGCATCAGGGGACGCTGGGGCTGGTTAGGTTGCTGGGAGGGGACCCAGCGGCCACGCACACCCCCCAGCAGAAGCCCCCGAGGCCTGCAGGTGGTACTGCGGGTCGGGACAGGTGCTGAGCCGAGGGCTTCACCAGGGTGTGCGGCGTGTCTCGGTGTCTGTTCCTTTATCCCGAAGGTAACAAGCCCCGGGCCCCTCACCTCCAGGGGGACATGACTTAACCAGTTAGAGTCGGTGTCGCACATGGGCGAGGATTAGGCGAGGGGTGCGCTTACTAAAGGGGGAACCTGGGGCCTCTGGCTGGCCCTCCGGGTCCTGCCCTGCCCGCAGGGTGTCCTGTGGCAGCTACCGGCCCTGCCTGCACCCGCGTCTGCTCCTGGGAGCTCGGAGCGGCAGGCGCCCGCCAGGCTCCAGGGCAACCAGAATGAGTGAGAAGCTGGTGTCCCAGCCAGGAGGGGCCGACAACTCGGGGAGCGCAGCCCCGGGCACGGGCCTCTGGCGGTGCCCTCAGTCCTCTGGAGTCCTCACCTGAGACCGGGAGGCCACTTAACTGAACCTGGCACACAGCCCGACCCCAGGTTAGTCATTAGCCGTGACAGGAGAGAAGGAAGAACAAACTCGTAGCTAAGCTGCACGAGCCACGCTGGGGCCATTATTTTCACTTGTGACCCACACCGTGTCCAGGGGGCTCCAGGCCTCGGAGTGGACAGGCAGCAGTCGCGACAGCCCGGGCAGCCCGAGTGTCTGTCTGGGGAAACCATTTCCAGACTTGGTGGGGGTGACTCCTCCGTGGGAGTTAGAAGTGGGGGGGTTCAGGCACTGCCCCGCATCTCGGGTCGGTGGGGAAGACAGTGGAGGGACTGGCTGCCCCTCCAGACAGGCAGCGAGCAGATGGCCACGGAGGTGGGGAGCGCGGGGAGACAGGCAGAGGGCCGCGGAGCCTCAGTCTTCTGGACGGGGACGCAGAGGGGAGGGCCCGGGGGATGTGGCAGTGGCGGCTTTAAGGTGAGTTGGGAGCCAGCCGCCCGCCGCGGCCTGTCCAGCAGGTTGGGGCACTGGGCGATTATTTTCGTTGTCCTCCGAGAGCTTGGGTCCTGGCCCTGGCTGCTGTGGAAGCAGTTGGGCAGATCAAGGACAACCAGGCCATGTCCCATGCTTGGACAGCTGCTGGGCTCAGTGGAAGTCACACGGTGAGCCCAGAGCGGGCGGCTCGGGGTGTGGGGGGCCGCTGGCCGGCTGCGTGCAGGGTGCGCACTCTGTGCCCGGGGTTCCAGCGGCCCGCCTGCTGGTGGCCAGCGGAAGGCGGTGGAGACTCGGCTCCCTTTGCAGAAAGTCCTCTTTTCAATGCAAATTTGGAAGAGAATTTGCAGCCCGCTGGGAAGACCCCGGAGTGGGACACTCCTGGGTAGCTGCGGGGAGCAGCTCAGCCCAGCCTCCTCCGGGGCTTTTCAAAGGGCGTCGCGGCCTCGACGGGCGGCCCTCAGCGACCTGTGGCCATGGCCAGCCTAGTGCTGACGTTCTCTGGCCCCCGTGCGCGTGGGTTCCCCAGCCTGGGTGCGGGCGGGTGGGTGGGTGGGCGCCATGCAGCTGTGACCGAACCGAGAGAGAAGCTCGTCTCCACCTTTGCACCTGCAAGGATTTAGATCCCGGGTCTGTTTTGTTTTGTTTCGCAGAGCTCAGTCAGGGCTGGTTCCTTGTCTGCTCTCTGCAAAGAGAGCCAAAGCGGAGCTAAAGCGAAACGGCTGAGCCTGCTGGGCCCCTGGACAAGCGTTTTGACCGCAACTCCGATGGCTGCTAATGACGCGATTTCTCTCTTCTGTCGTCTTCCTTAGACTTTCCTGTGGGCCCCGGGACGCCGCCCTCGACGCCATGGATCTGCATCTGTTCGACTACGCGGAGCCGGGGAACTTCTCCGACATCAGCTGGCCCTGCAACAGCAGCGACTGCATCGCGGTGGACACGGTCCTGTGCCCCAGCATGCCCAGCAAGAGCGTCCTGCTGTACACGCTGGCCTTCGTCTACATCTTCATCTTCGTCATCGGCATGATCGCCAACTCCGTGGTGGTCTGGGTGAACGTCCAGGCCAAGACCACGGGCTACGACACGCACTGCTACATCCTCAACCTGGCCATCGCCGACCTGTGGGTGGTGGTCACCATCCCGGTCTGGGTGGTCAGCCTCGTGCAGCATAACCAGTGGCCCATGGGGGAGCTCACGTGCAAGGTCACCCACCTCATCTTCTCCATCAACCTGTTCGGCAGCATCTTCTTCCTCACCTGCATGAGCGTGGACCGCTACCTCTCGGTCGCCTACTTCGCCAACACCGCCGGCCACCGGAAGAAGACGGCCCGCCGCGTGGTCTGCGTGCTGGTGTGGCTGCTGGCCTTCTGCGTGTCCCTGCCCGACACCTACTACCTGAAGACCGTCACGTCGGCGGCCAACAACGAGACCTACTGCCGCTCCTTCTACCCGGAGCACAGCGTCAAGGAGTGGCTGGTCAGCATGGAGCTGGTCTCCGTGGTGCTGGGCTTCGCCATACCCTTCTCCGTCATCGCTGTCTTCTACTTCCTGCTGGCCAGGGCCATCTCGGCCTCCAGCGACCAGGAGAAGCACAGCAGCCGCAAGATCATCTTCTCCTACGTGGTGGTCTTCCTGGTGTGCTGGCTCCCCTACCACGCCGTGGTGCTCCTGGACATCTTCTCCATCCTCCACTACATCCCCTTCACCTGCCAGCTGGAGAACTTCCTCTTCACGGCGCTGCACGTCACGCAGTGCCTGTCCCTGGTGCACTGCTGCGTCAACCCCGTGCTCTACAGCTTCATCAACCGCAACTACAGATACGAGCTGATGAAGGCCTTCATCTTCAAGTACTCGGCCAAAACGGGGCTCACCAAGCTCATTGACGCCTCCAGAGTGTCGGAAACGGAGTACTCCGCTTTGGAGCAGAGCGCCAAGTGATGCCCCCGCGGCCCGGGCCGTGGCCGCTGTCACCGGGCGCCGGCCGGCGCATCCTCGTCCAGAGGCGGCAGAGGCGCGGCCCCGGTTGGCGAGGAGCGTGGGGCGGCGGGGCAGCGCGGCGCGTTCTGGCCTCCCAGCCGGCGTGGCCGCCCCGGCGTGCGGGCCGACGCCTCGCGTCCCGGGCGCTGAGCCGGGCAGCTGTGTCCCAGGCCCGCCGGCCCTTCTGTAAAATAGGACTCGCGCCGACCCTGAAGGTTTATATGGTGATTTGTATTTAAATGTCAAGACTTTATTTTCTCACTCTTGGTGTACCTTATAAATGTATTGGAAAGTTTAAATATATTTTAAATATTGCGTGGGAGGTCTAAAGCCGACGTATATCCAGTGGGCAGATTAATCTGACTTCAGTTTTGACTAAGGATGACATTAATTGTTAGCTGTGTTGAAATTATACCTATATATAAATATATAAATATAAGCCAGTCGCGGCTGAAATGTTCTATTTACGATAATTTTATATCTGTGTGGTGCTCGGAACCGGCTCGGGCTGGGGGCAGGCTGCCGTGGTGACGCCGATAACGTGTGGTCAAGTCACCTTCGAGAAAACAGAGCAAAGCCGCCTCTTCTGGGCGCGGCGCTCTGCACAGAACGGGCAGTTGGGTGTCAGAGTTCTCGCAATTTGTAAGTTATTTTTTTAAATAAAGATTGTTTTTTTTCCTAAAAAAGGCATGTGCGTCTTTGTTTCTCTTTTTTTTGTCGGACCCAAATTACGTATGCTTGACGTGAGTGACGATGTTACGGCAGTTCCAGGCGTTCAGTTCAGTCGCTTTACACCCGGGATGCCGAGAAGTGACCACCCCGAGTCCTTTATCAGACCCTGTTTCTCTCGTGATGGCTTCGAGGCCTGCGAGTCTCCGTGCTCAAAGCGTGTGTGGCGCTGAGTTGGCGTGTGATGATGATGGTCCACAGATGTCTCCAGCCAGCAGGGTCGACCCAGTGCCTGGGTCTTGAAAAGAATGGTGCTTCCTTGATGGCAAGACTCCAGGGTGAACTTGGGTGAAATGTTATAAGAGGGAAAACATTTGAGTGCATTGAGTGTTTTGGTTTTTAAAACAATTCTCGGGCAAGGTGTTGGTGGCTGGAGATGGCTGGTCCTGAGTTCCCGCCGCTGTCTGCCCCAAAGGGTCAGGGCTCGGGGCATGTTCTCAGACCCCCCAGAGTCCCTGCCTCGGCCCTTGGCCCGCCTCTGCTTCTCTGCCAGCTCCTCTGGTTCGAGGCTAGGGGTATAAGCAGTAGCTGCAGAGAGCCAGCCCGGGACCCTCTTCTTGAAACCAAGAAATAAGCGAGTCCTGGTTGTGCTGTGCCAAGTTACACACTGGCTGGTGGTTTGCACGCAGCCCAGGGAGGCCGGCCCTGCAGCGCCCTTTGCAGCTCTACGCGAGCCACAGGCCAGGTGTCGGCCTCAGCAGGCGACAGGCCTGGCACGGCCCCCGCCACCTCCACAGCGCAGACTTACCCCAAGATTGGCCAGAGGTGGACCTGGGCTGCGAGCTCGGGGCTGCCACCGTGTAGGCCTCGGTTGGGCCTGGGGTGGGGAGGAAAGCAGCCTCCAGCCTGCCCAGGGCCCCACCCTCAGGCGCCCCCTGACCCTGACCTCTCCAACGGGCGCAGGCAGTTCTGGCCACCACCCCTGGCCCCGACGGCAGCCCGTGGTCAGTGAGTCAGTATGAAATGCTTTCCACTTGGCTCAGTAATAACAACTTCCCTTGTCTACGCCCTGGGCTCCCCGGGAGTGAGGGAACAGCAGACGCCGCTGAGCATGCTGGCTGCCCAGCCCTCTGGGCGTAACCGAGTAAAAGTGCCCTTGGTGGTGCACTAGCCCTCCGGCGGACCCCACCCGTGTCCAGTTCTCTGACCAGGCAGCAAGAACCTTTACGTCTCCTGAGCGGGCTGTGTCTGACCCCAGGAGGCTGCAGCTCGGGGATGCGCCCGTTTTGTCCCCGATGTGGACTCGCTGACTTTGCTGGGCCCCTCCCAGGCGATGACCTGGGCCCAGGCGGCTTCTCTTCCGAGCTGCGCCAGGCGTCTCGGGGAGCTGTGGGTCTGCACACCTGAGTGGGATGGGGGATGGCCGACGGACAGTAGCTCCCCAAGTCCCCTGGGGTGCTTTGGGGTTTCGCGCCTCAGCCCCTGGACTCCACCCTCCCTCAGGCTGCCAAAGTTCCGCCCCCCCCACCCGAGGGGTTGCAGGTGGGCTGAGTGTGAAAGCGGGGGGAACCGTGCGACCAAACACCCCTTTCCCCCGCCCTGAGGTGCCTCTGCAGCTGTGATGCACACGGCATGCCGCGGACCGGCGGCCCAAAGCTTTGCACCGCGAGGTCTCAAGGCGGCGCTGCTCTGGGGAGGGAGGCGGGAGGCCAGACTCGGCACCGGGCAGGTCCTGGACCAGCGACAGCTTTGCTCTCCGAGGCCCCGGCCAGTGGCTCCTGGGTCAGTGCTGGGAGAGCTGACCCCCCTGGTGCCGGTCCTTGCACACTCACACGCGTGCTCACACCCGGATTCCTGAGTGCCCGTGGCTACGTGCTCGGGCGCTGTGGACACGGCCCCAGGGTCGGGGGAAGACAGTCCTGGCCAGGGGCTGGTGCTGGGTTAAGGTCGGCCGCTGGGCCGTGGAGACCTCGGCTGGAGAGGGGCATCCGTCAAGAATGTCCTCGGGAAACGCCTGGAAACCCAGGGCTCCTCGTGGAAAGGGGCTGGGGGAGCCTGCTTCACAGGCTGCCGCGAGGTCAGGGGCGCAGTCAGGGGCACGGTCCCTGTGGGGGCTGCGGGGGCCCGGGGAGTCCCTGGCCCTGGAGGTGTGCGCTCAGGTGCAGCTGCCGTCCGGGTTCCCGCGATGTCTTCGGCGCAGGCTTTGCTGTTCTTTGCAAGAAATAAAGCATTTGTTTGCCTGTGGGCGGCGACAGAGCGGGAGCCTGTCTGCCCAGCGCAGTTCTCCGAGGGGCTGGTTTCCTCTCCCTGGAGACCCCGGCAAGGTCTGGAGGTGGCTTTGGTGGTGTCTCCTGAGGGCAGCGGTGCTCCTGGCACCCAGTGGGTAGAAGGCCAGGCTGCTGCTGGACGTCCTGCCGTGCACAGGACACGCCGTGACGAAGCCTCATTCAGCCCCAGAAGCCGCCGGAGTTGAGGTCGAGAGGCCCTTTCTGGGGTAAAGCTGACCGCAGAGACGGGAAAGTCCGATGGCCTCCCCACCTTGCCGGGACGGCCTCTGAGCAGCAGTGCTCCTCACCCCGGGGCCGGGCCCCTTCTGGGGTCCCTAGAGCCCTGGGCGTCCCCTTCCTGGCACCTCAGCTGCACAGGACTTGAGCCCACAGGCAAGGGCAGCGCCGGCCTCGGACGCGAGCGCAGGAGCCGCGACCCTCCCCCGCCAGTCGCTCGGTCACCCCGACTTGGCGTGTTCACGGCCTACGCAGACGACGTGCCCGTGGAAGGGACACGCAGAGTAACTTCAGGCCCCCTTCCACGGGGGCCTGGGAGAGCTCAGCTTTCAGTTGAAGTCAGCAGTGTTAGTTTAACAGGCCCAGAAAGACCATGGCCCTGCCCGGCCCGCTCTGCTCCCCGGCGGCTCGTCCGCAATGCTCTCCACGAAACCCCACTCCTCGCTCTGCAATCACCTCTCCACCTCCACGAAAGGGTCCTCGCAGGGGTCAAAGCTGCACCCACAAGCCGAGGAAGACGCTGGGCGAGTGGACCCTTGAACAAAGCAAAGCCCCGGGGGCCGCCCAGAGGTCCCCAACCCGCCCCCCCACCGCCCGGCCCTGGCCGTGCAGCGGGTGCCGGCTGGGCTCGGCGCCCCCGGTGTGTGAAGTGTCCAGATGGGTCTGCATTCAGCGGGCGGAAGGTCAGCGTCCACGTGACCTCCGTCCAGCATCCTGGGAGTCGGCTGAGCGGTGGTCTCGGCTGAGGGGCGGCCTCTCCCCGAGGGAGGTCGTGGTCGTCCATGCGACGTGCAGAGTGATGGACAATTCTGGGTTTTTCTTATTTTCAAAGGCTCCATTTTTGTCGGCTTTTCATATGCTGATGGGCTCGGGCCTCACAGACCGTCCACCCGGCGCGTCTCCGTGCTGGGGGAGGGGCCGCTCCTCACCATACAGTGTGTGGGAGCAGCAGAATGGAAAAATCTGAATTTCCATAGTTATTTCCGGAACTAAACTGATTAAAATCATTTCCTAGGTAGGTTGGCATTTTCCCTTTAACCATTTTTTTCAGAAGAAAAAGCAGAGAGTCACGGTGGCGGACGTGTAATCTGCTTGAGTGACTCAGAATGCTGTTGGCATGGCGACGCGGCGTGGGGCGGCCTCAAGCTCGAGGCGTCGGCGGCGTGGGGGCCTGCGGGCGGGCGCCGCCCCACACTGTGCAGCGCCTGGCGCCCTCGGGGCTTCCCGCTCGCCCTGGGCCGGGGCTGGGAGCAGGTGGGGCGCACTCAAGGCACCCCACCCCGTCCCTGGGGTGTGGTTAATGGTGGGGTCCTGCTCAGGGTGGGCTTCGCGGAGCCTGAGCATTGGCGGGAATCGGCCAGCACCCGCTGCGGGCTGGGCAGGGCCCCAGCGATGCGCGCCTGGCCCGGCGAGCGTGTCCCGGCCCACGCAGGCCAGGTGGGCCTGTCCTGGGCACGTCAGAGGTGCGGGGATGAAGCCCGATGGGGGAGATGGACGCCGGGATGCCGGGACGCGGGATGCAGGACTTGGCTCCCGGGCGGCCGAGAGGAGGCTCCTGGAGGCCTTCCCCTGAGCTGCGGGCAGCTGTGAGGAGGCTGGTCCTTGCGGAGAGGCCCGGAAGGCCCGTGAAGGGGGCGGCGTCCTGCTGTCCGGGCTGAGGGTGGGGGGTTGGGGCTGCCCAGCGACACGGAATGGGGGGTGGGCTGAGGGCAGCCCCTGGGTGTGCTCGCTGTTTCTTTTGGGGCTGCCGGGCCGGACAGTGAGGACTCCTGCCCGCATGACCACTCGTGACACCCGAGGCGTGGCCGTGGCTGGAGCTTGCGGGAAAGGACGTGCGTGAGCATCGCAG